TTAAAAAAAATCATGAGGGAGTGTTTCCATTAGTAGAACAGGGCTGCAAAAGATGGGACCATTATATTGAGATAGATGTTTATAGTCCAAGATTGTTACTGGAGATTCCAGATTAGGGGAAGGGAAGAGGTGAGGTGTTCAAGGCATTTATGCCCCATCCAGGAGCTCCTCTTCTAAGTGACAGTTGACAAGCTAGGTTCTGGCAATAGGGTGCCACCCATATGATATGAGGTCCAGATATCTCTCTGGTGGTGTTGTCATAGAGAATTGCACTGTTAACACAAAAACCTCACCTTTCTGGTGTTTCAAATATATAGCCTCAGAAACTAAAAAAAAAAAATCAAACAGTATGATTAATATCACATGTAAGGAAAATACTGCTGAAAATCATTCAAAAACAGAATAACAGTAACATAATAAAGGCAATAACTGAATGCCAAACATCAATAAAGACCACTGAACGCACACGAATATCATTGCTGATGTTAGATGGACCCTGGCTGAAAACAGCATACCAGAATATCTTTTTGTGCTGTATTTACTATGCAAATCATTTTACTGTGGATCATGACAACAGATGACCAACACTGAGAAGAATGGGAATCCTAGGATACGTACTGTGCCTATGTAATACCTCTACCAAGAGGCTGTAGTGCAAACAGGGCAAAGGAACACTGAGTGGTTTAAAACTGTGAAGGTGCACATCAGAGTTGTATCCTTTCTCCATACTTATGTTTGCTGAGCAAATTACTCTAGAAATGACTATGTGAAGAATAATGTCGCATCAGGATTGAAGAGAGACTAATCAAACTGAGTTATTTAGATGACACAACCTTGCTTGCTGACAGAGAGGAGGACTTGAAGCACTTGCTGCTGAAGATCAAAACCTACAGCCTTTAATGTAAATTGCATCTCAACACCATAAAAACAAAATTTCTCACCACTGGACAAATAGGCAACATCATGATAGATGGAGAAAAGATTAGGACTGTTAATGACTTCACCTTGCTGGGATCCACAATCAATACACTTGGTATCAGTATTCGGGAGATCAGGAGACATACTACATTAGGAAAGTCTGTAGTCAGTGACCTCACTAAATTACTGAAGAGTAGGATGTTAGTTTGAGGGCTAAGGTGAACCTGATTCAGACCATGGTCTTTTTCAGTCACCTGCTATGCATCTGGGAGCTGGGCAGTTATTAAGGGTGACAGAAGAAGAATTAATGCCTTTGAATTGTGTTGGAGAAAAGTGCCACAAGAACAGATAGATATGTCTTGGAGAAGTGGATAAAGTTTCATCTTGCATACTTCATCCTTGCATGCTAGGAGAGGCTGTTCCTTGGATAGGGACATCATGGTTGGAAAGGTGGAAGGATGATCAAACATAGAAAACCATCAACCAGGTGGCCTGACATAGTGACTACAGCAATTGGCTGTCAGATTGTGGGAATGGTACAGGATTGGGAAGGGTTCAGGTCTGTTGATCCTATGAGTAATATTTGATTTGACAGCACCTAACAACAGTACTCAACAAATCAAGCCCACTGCCATCAGTTCTGTGAAGTGACCATCAGGTCCCCAAGGCTGTAAATCTTTAGAGGAAGTATCCCATCTTTCTCCCTCATAGAAGCTAGATTCAAACCACCAACCTTTGAATTAGCAGTGCAGCGTGTCACGCACTGCATGGCCAGCTCTTCTTAGAAGTCACACAGTAGAAATTAAATTGAGCTATAAGTTATCATTGTTTGGGGACTATAGTATATGCTTTTCTTGACAGCAGCATTTTTCATCTTTGGATTTTATTATACTGTGTTGTCCAGAACAGTATTTCTGTTTCTTTATCACACACCACATAAGTATTTAGGAGAGATCAGTCTTAAATGTAATGTTTAAAGAACTGGGAAAATAGATAACATATAGTCATTCACGGGCAACATAGTAAGTAGTTGTACTGCCAACCCAAAGGTACTCAATATGAATCCACCAGCTGCTCTGCAGGAGAAAGGTGGGCATCATTCTCTTCCTGTGATTTATAGCATCTGAAAACCTTTTGGAGTGTCAGCTATGAATTGGTTCTGACCTTAAAGTATAAAAACAACAACATAATAATCATTCATGAGGTGACTAAATTTTATTAACTATTTGATTGTTTCCTAGGTTAAAATCCTACAGAAGAAAACTGATTTTCTTATTCCCGACTTGGAACCACTGACTATATATTGTATCAAAGCTAGAACACTCATCAAGAATGAACAATTGAATGAAAGCAGTAATTTTAGTGATACTGTGTGTGAGAAAACAAAACCAGGTAAGAATCTTTTATTATATCGTAAAGTATAACTGGGCTTAATAATAATTTAATTCTTAGAAATTGCATAATTTCTGTACTGCAAATATATCTTCTCTTCATTAACTACATGAATCAAAATAAAACTTTAAGGTTAGTGTTACCTTTCCATTTTAGAATTTGTAATCCTCATTCATGTTTTTGTTGTCTGATTCTTCCAGTATCCACAAAATTAATTTCCTATAATTATTTTACGATAGCATGTAGCAAGGCTAAACTTTTCATTTTTAATATAGTCTTAAATATAATTAATTATGTGGAAATCAGTCAGTTCAACACAATTTTGAAAAAACCCAAAACCAACTTGCGTCTCATTGTGTCTTTCCTTAGACAGGCTTCTCTTTCACTGCTGTCACGTTGGCCCCCGCTCGTGACAACCCTGCATATGGTGCCCAGGGCTGTGCATCATATTGTGAAGGGACAGCTCTGCCCAGCTTTCTCCTGCAGAGCCACCAGTAGGTTCAAACTGCCAGAGACATTCAGCTTCTGAGTTAGCAGTGTTACTCTCTACAAACTTCCCCAACAGAGCTCCCTTGTACATGATGCTTCTTGTTGTTGATTGCCTTTGAGTTAAGCACTACCCATATTGACCCTATGAACATAAAGCCTGAAGCCCCTCTACAACAATCAACATCTATCAAAGCTCAGAGAGTTTCCAGAGGCATGTTGTTTAGGAAGTGGATGCCACTCCTGCTTAGTCACAGGATATTTTTACAAGTTCTGTTTTGTAGAAAAGTCCTAGAAAATATGATGTATATTGAGGCCTTTATGACAGTGTTGTGCTCTTAGCTAAGGACCTCTTTCTTTAGTTCCTAGACAAGTCTTTTAGGTAGTGTCATTGCCTACAGCTTTTGTACCAGAAATTTTCTTTTTTAATTTTAGTTTTTGTTTGTTTTTGTTTTTCAGAAATGTTTTTAAAGATGTTTGTGTGTGTATTTTTTTTTTCCCTTTGGCTAGTTTTTCACTAAGGTGTCAGCACTGTTTTAAAGCATTTTTCTGTCTAGACTTGTATTGATGCTGAACATCATTTATCTCGTTGTAGGAAATACAGCCATGATCTGGATTATAGTGGCAATTTGCACAACATTATTTCTTACTGCAGTTTTAATATATGTTGTAAAAGCCTTCTGGAAACCTGTTGTTTATGTGTTCTTTCCGCCATGTAAACTTCCTCCAAATATAGAAGAGGTATGTTGTAATTTTCCTTGGTCAACAGCTGATTCTTAAGGTGAACAAGAAAAATGTCCAGTTTCATATAGTACTCATATTTCATATTTTCTTGATATAAAATACTACAGACATATTTGTATATTTTCTTCAGAGTTCCTATAAATGAGCTGTATAAACAGACATTTAATGTAAGAGCCTGCTAAGGACTAAGTTTTGTTTTTGAGCTGATAGTTCTTGTTTTATGGCATTACTCAAGTCTTTGTGATTCTTATTAATGTATCAAAGAAGCTTAAATACCACTAGTGTTAAAAATGTTCTGTGGATGAAATCACACATGAAATTACTAAAAACACAAGTTTCCTTTTATAATACATCAGAGTGAGTGAGTGGCATTCCTTTTAAGTGTTTTTAATGAAGAGTTAAGCATAGAATCTGGCCTGGAAAATGCTACCTGTGTTCACCTGGGGTGTATGTCAGGTGCAGGAGAATAATTCGGTACTTGGATTTTGGAGTTGGAGAACATGATGGTGAACTGTTGATAAACTGTGGTCCATCTGTACTTACACAGTGTAACCTTGGAACAAAACCCACATGGGCATTCTTAGTTGTAAAATGGCCATTCTTAGGGTTGTGAGGGGGGGAAAGGAAGAATCTTAAAAGATTTAACATTGTAATGCTCAGGAAGTATTAGCTATTTTACTCTTTTTTGTTTGTTTATTTGTTTTGTTTGGTTTTGGTTTTGTTTTTATTAATTTCAATGAAAGTTTACAGAGACTTAGGGTTTCAAGTCATTCATTGTTGCACTTTTCTCCCTGCCCACCCCTCCCCCCCATTTCACTCTTCTCCTTAAAAAGTAAAAGAAAAACTCTTTCATTGTTAGGTAATCCCTCCCCCTAAGTCCACTCTGTAGTGTTCATTCTGGACTCCTGTCATGACAGTAATACCTAATCATATATCCCTTTTAAACAGTTCTCTCCTTCATTTGTTTCAATGCAGTATACATCATTCATTCCTCCCCTCCTTCTCTGCCTTCCTTCAACCCCGATGTCAGTCCCGTTTTACAACAGTGGCCCTATGCAATATTTGTCCCTTTGTGACTGAGATATTTCACTCAGCATACTGTCCTCCAGGGTCATCCATTTTGCATAATACTTCATGAGTTCCTTGTTTTTCAATGTTGCATTGTGTGACTATTCCACAATTTCTCTATCCATTTGTTTGTTGATGGGTACTTGGGTTGTTTCCAGCTCTTTGCTATTGCAAACAAAGCTGCAGTAAACATGGGTGTGCATAGCTATTTTACCCTTAAAACCCTGAGTTTTTAAAGAATCACTCCTATACATTTTCCCTCCTACCATATTGTAAATTGAGTTTACAAAACAAATTGTTTTTCCAGTTAGCCACTGTACACACATTTTGTTTTTTATTAATTATAATACCTGCCATGCAGCCATGCTCTTCCCATTTTTTCAGTGTGGTCCTCATACTGGTGAACATAGATGCCTTCCAAGCAGTTCACTTGAGTTCAATTCCTGCTCAGTGTCCTGAGCTGACCATAGGGAGCTCTGGTGGCGTAGTAGGGAAGCGCTGTAAAGGCACATGATTTGAATCCATGGGAGAAAGATGGGCTGGCTCCTCCCATGCGATATACAGCCTCTGAAAACCCACTGGAGGGTTAGCTCTGAAGTGGTTCCAACTCAGGAGAACACAACAAAGGCACCATACAACTATATTCTTTGCATTTTCTTCATGATTCTCATTTCTGTCAATTCTTTTACCCTTTCCTCCCTTCCAAGCTTTCTCCCTGAGCAAATAAATGCTGCCCTTTTGACCTTATCTGGTTGATTTATCTAAGCATTAGTGCCTCCAGGTGGGTATGTTCACCTTACAGACCTGCCTTATTGTTTGCCTGATGGTCGAGTCACAAGAGTATGTTTTGTTTGAGGTTCAGAGGGTGACTAAGGGTTATAGTTTTGGGGAATGCTATAGGTTCTTAAAATTCATAGCCATACTTAATTATACTTTATTTTAGCTAGTTGCAGTAGCTAATTATTCTTAATTTTAACAGAAAAAGTTCATTATTAACTGTATTTCTTCTGAATATTTGTGAGTTAGATAAAATCATTTTATGGTTCTATGATCCCAGAGCTTCTCTCCTTTCTCTCCTCTCATCTCAACCCCAATCGCACAGTACACCTTCCTGCTGTCCCTAACTCACCAGAAAACATAGTTAGATGTAGGGACCTTACTGTTGCTGGTTTTAGTCTAAACATTATTATGTTTTTAGTGTGCTCTTAGCTGACTTTTTGATGTACATGCAAAAAGATGTTTTCTAAATGAAGGGCATAAGAAATTAAAAGGTAATAGAACTAGAGAGTTATTTTTATTATTTTAAATAATCCATTTTATTCTTTCTATTTTTTATATTAGTATTGCTTGGAGCAGCCACTAAAGAATCTACTCCTTTCTACCTCTGAAGAACAAATTGAAAGATGTGTCATAGTTGAAAATATGAACACTCTTAATACAGTAGAAGAAACTCATCAAATTGACAGTGATCACAAAAAATATAATTCCCAAACCAGTCAGGATTCGGGAAATTACTCTATTGAAGATGAGAACAGTGACAGTAAAACAAGTGAAGAACTTCTACAGCAGGAAATCATGTGATAAGGAATTAACTCTGAAATATTAAGGAACTTTGCAGTGGTTTCTCTGGGAACCTGAATAACTTTACTCTTCTCAGTAGCTAAAAAGCAGATGTTTGCTTATTGTGGAAGAAAGAAGATCTTCGAGCCATAGTCCCGAAGTTAAAAATAAACATTTGAAAAATGAAAATCCAGAAATTTGAGAAAAATTTCTACAGTCCGTGGCAAAGATCTTTAAAGAACTGTCGTTGAACTTAACCTTTAATGAAATTATTTAAGTTGACCAGCCTCATTCCTACTGGTATGTTAAGGACACTGTTTATGGTCTTGTCAGAAAGCACTAGGAGCCCTGATGGCGCAGTGGTTAAACACTCACTTGCCATCTCAGAAATCAGCAATTTCAGCCCACCGACTTCTACCCAGCGGAGGAGGGAACAGTCTTCTCCCGTAAAGCTCACAGCCTTGAAAGCCCTCTGTGAGTCCTCTGTCTTCGGAGCTGCTATGGGTCAGAATTGACTTTGATAGCAGTGGCTTTGGTTTTGATTTTCAGGGAATACAGTGCAGCTGCCAATAGTTATGGACCATCTAGTCATTCTCCATTCCCAGTATCACATGTCATAGTTTTCCCAGGAAATATTTAGAATGTTGGGTGTTTTCTTTTGATCCTGAAGCAGGCCCTTAAGTAACTTAACTCTAGAAAACAGCTGATGCCAGAAAGATGATTGGTAAAACTTGCAGAGATGTTGTAGCCATTTATCCCAAGAATCATTGACTTACCTAGTCTCTACTAAATAGTAAGCATTCTGATTAATAACAATAACTTGATCAGAGTTAAAGTTACAGGGAAATGTGTATGTTTCTATTGTCAAGATACAGGAGCATGCAGAAGTGACTCATAGTTTGCGCAAGGACCTTGGGACCTGAAAATGCTGGTCGAGTAAGAAGTTGAATAATTCAGCAGAGATAAAGTATATAATAACAAAGTTTTCATTGATAACAAAGCTAAGGTTCAGTTTGTTTTTAATGGGTGCTGTGTGTCAGCTTGTCAAGAAAATGCAACTTATTTAATATCAAGATGAAGGAGAAATGGAACCAAGAAGAATTCTGATGTAAAAATTAAGTAAGGTAGACTTTATTTTTAAATTATTTTCTATTTTGAATTATGCATGAATAGCCTCCTTTTGAAAGAAGTCTAAGAATGGTAGTGACCTTTTGGACAAAATTCTCAACTTGATTTGTTTTAACAAGAATCCGTGAAAGAGGAAGTGGAGGTACAGAGAGCATACTGGGAAGTGCATATAACCACTATTTTTATCTCAGTTCATTTCCAGCAAGTCAGAACTGACTCACTCATAGCTGGCCCGCCAGCAGGCTCTGGAGGCTGTAAATCACATGGCAGAGGAGATGTCCCGCCTTTCTCCTGAGGAGCTAGTGGATTCGAACTGCATGCCTTTGGGTGGGCAGTACGTCCTGCTGTTTCTGTAATAGCCTTTATTGAGGTAATCTGTGTATCTTGGTGGAAGGACATATTGAAAGTTCTCTAGAGAGAGCCGTGACATGAACACATTCCTGACACCATGGCCATACCATGTGTCTTGCTTGACCTGCAGTCCAAACTCCATGAGTCATTTAGTGGTATATGATAGGAGATCAAGGAGGCCAAAGATCTCCTCAGAAATGCAGTTCCCCAGAGTGACCAAGACTTTGGTTTCCTGTTACTCAAAATTTGCCTTTAAAAAATGAGGAACATGTGATGAGCCACTGCCGTCATTGACTCCCGTACTGTGTTGGTGCATTGGCTGTACCCAGTTTTCAAGCCCAGGATTTACTATAATTAAAAAAGTTCCTTGGGCTGGATAACTTTAAAAGAAACACCATCTTTGTAAAATGTGCCATAAAGGAACCTTCTGTTATAATAAAGACCAGTTAAACTTTGATTTCTTAATGTGGTAGCACAGCTAGCAAGGGGAAGGGGATGGATATTTCATTTTTGTCTTGTTTTCTAGACATGAAATGACAGTTCCCTTTGAATCTTTATTGTGTTCTGCGTATCACTTTACTAGGATATGCTTACTTAGGTGATAGAGTTTTTTCTGAAGAATATTTTACTTAGAAATAGCATGTACTTGGCAGCAGTTAACTGCTTCACAGTTACATTGATGGTTCTTGAAGATACTGGATATAGGAATTTATAAGATAGAATTATCTCTTTAGAGCCAAAAATATTAAATGTAAGTACTGTGTATGGTGTGTGTGCATGTGTGCGAGCGAGCAAGCGAGCCATGCTAGCATAGTGTGTCATGTGTTGCACTGCTAATCAGAAGGTCAGAGGTTTTAGTCTTTCTCTTTGCTTCAAGAGAGAAAGATGGACAATCTCTTCCAGTGAAAATTTACAACCTTAGAAACCCACTGAAGGGTCCCTGTAAGTTGGAATCAACTTAAGAACTTTGAGTATATAGGTAGCGTGGGCTTGTAAACACATAATACACTTACATGTTCACACTCAAATATATAATAGGGACCTTACTTGTTAGTATAAGCATAAAGCACATAATGGTATAGATTCCAATTAGAAATGCTGCTTTAGACGCAAACCAGAAATTTGCTACCTTTAAACTTTTAATGAAAATATAATTTAGCATCTGTATTGTTTTCCAAAAGAAGTCTTGTGGCCCGCTGGATAAATATTTGTCAGTTAATCCAAACATTGAATGTTGGACCCACTGGCCCATCCACAAAAGAAAGATGTAGCAGTTTGCTTCTGTAAAGAAGCAGCCTTGAAAACGAAGGCAGTTTGACTCTTTTTTTCTTTTTATTTCAGTGAACATCTACAGAAATTTTGGAATTCCATTCATTCATTGTTGCACTTTCCTCCCTGCCCTCCCCCCACCCCCCCCCCCCCCCCCACCCCCCCCCCCATTCGCTCCTCTCCTTGAAAAGCAAAAGAAAAACTCCTTCATTGGTACACAATCCACCCCCCACCCCCACCTCCACCCCAAATATAATCCACTCTTCTATTATCCTGGTAGGTAACCCTTTAGTGACTGTTGACAATGAGGCATAATCTTCACTTCTTTAACTCAGAACACACTTGATGCCCATGGACTTTTGGAGTTTTGTTTGTACTTTTCCCCAAGCTGCAGCTTTGGGGATAATATAGCAGCTATTCTTTTTGCCTTACCCCCATACACCTGTTCCCTTATTTTGTTCACTATATATATTTCCCCACCTAGATTGTAAGCTCCAGAGAGCAGAGACTGTTTCTTTAATAGACATAATAGTTACAGTTGCCCAGTGCCTTACCCATAGAATGTGTTCAGAAAATTATTACTGAATGAATGAAATCCAAAATTTTAACCAAGGTTGTTTCCAGTGGTGTATCTTTTATAAGGTGGTTTGAAGGACTTGACATTGTTTTTATGCAATGAATTTTTTATGTAATAAACTCATTATCTGACATTTCACATTTACAACAATAGTAAAAACTCCTGAACAGTGATGATGATGAGGTTAGAATAACGATGCTGATTGGGTGTCACCTTACTGGGCCATAAGTGTCAGCGGTCTGGCAGTTATGTAATGATTTCTTCCTCTGTTGTTACATAGTGATAATTTTTGCTTAACAACCTAGTCTTTGGAACATAATAGTGTCAATAAGTATGGAGTGAGTGTATTTTTTATTTTTTACTTAAACCCTACTGTTGTAAATAGGGTTGTTTTTGTTTATTTTAAATAAAGTTTTAATTGTGATTTTAACAAACATTTACAAAGATGTTAGATTTTCATTCATTCATTGTTACACATTTTACCCCTTCCTTCCTTCCCCCTCCCCAGTTTACCTCTTTTTTTAATAGTCATTGTAAATAGTTTTATATAAGAAATAAATTACGCTTACAAATTGCTGAAGATTTAAATTGTACTTAGATTTTTTTTATACCAAGGTACTACAGCAGCTGTCTTCAAAAGGTGTTCCTAGTAGAGAGTATCGATAACTGGTGCCTGCCACGAATGTTTCAGTGTCCTGCTGAAGGTGCTGCCCTGTTCTTCCTATCTTTTAGAAAGAAGTAGCCATTGGCTTCCTGGGTTTTTTTCATGCTTTCAGTGGAAGCTTTGAGTAGGACACACACTAAGTGCACTTGTTTGTAGTGGCATTTACTCCTCCCTTTCTTGAAATAACCTACTTTCCTTTTACAAATATCCTTTTTTCTTGGTGGATGGATCTCTCTTAGGAAACTCCTCAAATCCATGTTTATCTCTTATCTAGACATCACAAATTACATTTAAGCCGGAAACCATTCTTAGGCCTGGTTATCTACAGAAGTAAATTGTATGTGTCTGTATATATGTAAACACATGCATGTGTACATATGTTATGTGTCATTGAGTCACCTGCGACTCATACTGACCCCATGTACAATAGCCCTAAACCCTGCTCTATCCTGTGCCAACTTTATTGTCTCTGACATACCTACCCCCACTACCACAGTCACTGAATCAATCCATCTAATCAAGGGTCTTCCACTCTTTTTTTTTCTTCACCTCCCCCCTTTTTTTCCTTTTTTTTCTCTTTTCATTTTAGCTGTGAAGACCAGGCCAGGTGCTGGTTGTGGGACAGACCATCAGCCACTCATATGCAAGTTTCAAGCTGAAGTAGAAGAAAATTAAATCCAATCATGGGAACCAAAATTTTACCTTAAGTCTATCCCCTCAAATTTCAAAACCATCTCCAAACAGGTTTGAGGCCTTGAGCACCAATGAGTGTAGACCAAATGAGCTGTGGGAGGATTATCAAGAATATCATCCATGAAGAATGCAAAAGACCATTACAAAGGCTGAAGAGGAAAAAAAGACCAAGATGGATATCAGATGAGACTGAATATTGCATTAGAGCGCTGAGAAGCCAAAGCTAAAGGAAGAAATCAAGAAAGAGCTGAACAGAAAATTTCAAAAGGCAGCTCAGGACAACAAAGCAAGATACTATAATGAAATGTGCGAAGAGCTGGAGGCAGAAAATCAAAAGGG